AAAGGAAAAGAAAACCTAGAATCAAGTCTCCGAGCTGCATTTGCTATACTTTGATGTAATCTTGAGCAAATCTCTAAATATCTAAACTTCAATCTTCATCTATAGCTGGGGATTTACCTCAGTGATTCAGGTTTGCCTGCCTTGCAAGCACAAGGTCCCGAGTTCGATCCCCAGTACCAAAACAAACAAACAAACAAAAAACAAAACAAAAAAAATCTTCATCTATAAAATGGAGATAATGAGACTACTTCTCCAAAGATTAGGGGAAATAAGATGAAATTAAAGAATTTTATTCCTGATAAACCTAGTGGCATACTTGGAGACAACATACACAGTGGACAGTGAGCACAGGCAGGAAGAGAAAGAGGGACCTGTGAATTAATGCCTTTACAGTACAGTCTTGGGTCCAAGGCATTATCCAAACAGGCTTCCCCTGGGGAGTCTCAATTGGTAGGTTTAAAGCAAGCAGGCATGAGTTCCAGGAGGTTGCACAGAGGTTGTCATATCAGAACAATCCAGGTGAGGTATGAGGGTCAGCCAGGCCAGTCAAACAAGCTAACCTAGTGGTACCAGAAGGAAGTGGTCACCAGGGAGCAGTTTATAAGGCAATATCTGGATTGACCTTAATTGAGAAACTGGGGTAGAGCTGGAAACTGTCAACAGGGACTGAGCCCTACCTCTGTTATGAGGAAGTTCAATTTATGATTTTTTTTTTCTTTTTTTTTTTTGGTACTGGGGATCGAACTCAGGACCTTTCGCTTGCAAGGCAGGTGCTGGAACCACTGAGCTAAATCCCTGGCCCCAATTTATGATTTTTACTATAAAACCGTTTACATGAGTGTCAATGCTGACACCTTGGACTTCAATACTTTTATTGATACTTTTCAGTTTCTATAAAATAAACTTTTCTATTAAAAAAAAAATCCAAAGCTGGAAATGATGGTGCATGCCAGGAGTCAGAAAACCTAGAAGCAAGGGGCTGGGGTTGTATCCCAGTGGTAAAGCACTTGCCCAGCACTGTAATCCTAGCACTTGGGATGCTGAGGCAGGAGGATTGCCATGTGTTTGAGGCCAGCCTGAACTACACAGCAAGACCCCATCTCCAAAAAAAATAAGGTGGTAAGGGAGTACAGAGTGTACGGATAAGGGAAGGTTGCTATTTTATGGGGATTAGGAGAGAATTCACTGAAAAACTGATATCTGAACAAACAAAAGAGTAGTAGTGTGGCTATCTTAACCTTGTGCATTTCAGGCAGAGGAATATACAAGGAGCAAGCACAGTTGTACTTCACTTGAAGAACAGCAAGAAGAACAGTGTGGCAGCATACGCCTGTAATCCCAGCACTCCAGAGGCTGAGGCAGGATTGAAGTGAGCTCAAGGGCAGCCTGGGCTACACAGTGAGTTCGGAAACCAGCCTGAACTACAAAGCAAAACTGTCTCAAAAAACAAACAAACAAAAAGGACATGGGGCGGGGGTGTTGGTAGCTCAGTGGTGCTATCACCTGTCTCGCAAGTGCAAGGTCCTGAGTTCGATCCCCAGTACCAAAAAAAGAAAGGAAGAAAAAAAATTTCGGCCCAGGGATTTAGCTCAGTGGTTCCACAGCCTGTCTCACAAGCACAAGATCCAGAGTTTGATCCCTGGTACCAAAAAAAATAAAAAAGGACAGTACAGCTGGAGCGGGAAGAGGCAAATTAATGAGGTCTAAAATATGTGAGAGCACATGCATGGCCAAAATGGTATTCATGGGCTATAAAGATTCTGGGGTTTTTTTGTTGTTGTTTTGGGGGGTGGTTTTGGTACCGGAGAGCAAACACAGGACCTGGCGCTTGCCAGTCAGGAGCAGCGCCATTGAGCTACATCCCAGGCAAGATTCTGATTTTTGTGGGAAAATAGGATTAAATATAGGTGAGGAAAGAGTCATTCTGGCTCAGGTAGTAGTGGTGCAGGTAGGGAGAAATAAGATTCCAAATATAGAGGAAAGGGGTCTGAAGGCAGGAAAAAAAAATAGAGTAAGGCCCTCATTAGGTTTTCTAGCTAATCCTGACTAGAAAGAATTAAAACTTTACTGCAGGGAGCAATTAACAAGACAAGAGGGAAAGCTGATAAGCAGTGCTTGGAGGTAGCCAGATGCACCATCAAAACAGCCACCCCTCCCCACCTCCAATAAAATGCAAAGGAGACAAAAGGGGGTAGGAGGTCATCTATCTTATTTAGTATATAAAAATACAGACATAGTCCCACTCTAGGGTCATTATATTACTGCACTAGATACACACACATCCCCTTAATCACTAACTTGACCTTATATGTAAGGACCCTCCTAACCAACCTATAAATCCCAGAGATAAAGCCCTGACAAGGACAAGCAGACAAGGGAAAACAAACAAAAGCCCACAAAGGAATGGGCACATAGGCTTGGAGGAGAGGGGGGCTGTCCCCAAAATATAACAAAAGAAAGCTGAGGATAAAGGCTGATGGGTATCTATCTTCCAGGGCCGCCTGCCCTCATCTCACACAGGGCAGCTTTCCGTCTTTTTTTTCCTTCTTACAAATAAAGTGAGTGCCTTCCCTCCCAAAATTCTTTACTGGTTGCTGAGTTTCCATTACTGGTTGCTGAGTGTCTGTTCCTGGTTGACCACTCATTCCAGCACAGCAGCCAAGCACAACATCCAGCAAAACATAAACACACCTGAAAGCAGAGTCCAGAGAATCTGCTGATGGATTAAAAATGTTAGTAAAATTGTTGAATAGCAGGTTGGCATGCAGTGTTCCACCAAGATTAGCTAGAAACCACTGATTTTTAAAAATTTATTTTGAAACCACTGATTTTTAAATTTTATTTTGAGATAAGTCTTGCTAAATTGCCCAAGCTGGGCTTGAATTTGTGATCCTCCAGCCTCAGCCTCCTAGAGTGCTGGGATTACAAGCATGTCCCACTGTCACGGGAAATATGAAATAGGAAATATTATATCTCCCAACCTGTTAACTGTATGATACACTGAGTTCTTGTTCTCTAGAAATCGAAGAATGAGTCCTAGGCACGATGGAGGTTAAAAGTAGGAAGATATTTATTGATAGGAAAGCTCCTGAGGGGCAGGAGGGGTCCCGAGTGGGTAGCCCAAGGACTCCACTTTACAGAGAAGTTTTATACAGTGAAGCCCATGTGGGTACAGTGTGGGCCACAGCCATAAACATCTAATAAGGTTACAAGTATAGTCACTTAGGCAATGGTAGTCCAATTGGGAAGCAAGTCTCTAGCAAGCATGGATGGAAAGAACAAGGATTCTCCTAGGGGGCGGTGGGTCCAGAGGTCTCTGGTCACTACCAGGGTGGTCGATACCTATCTATACTTCACTAACCCCAGTTCTTTGAAGAAGTATGTGGGTCTGGTCATCTTGTTTCCATCTTGAGGCCTGGTTTTTAGCTGATGTATAGCTGTGGTTTGTTTCACCTTTGTCCTTGCCCTCTCAAGGACTTAGCCCTATCTGACTGCCCATAATATTTCTACCTAGCTCATCTATCCATAATACCACCACACCTGGTTAAGATTTTTTTATTTTAAGGGTCCACAATTGATTTTTATTCAGTAGGTTGTAACTAAGGTACAGAAAAAGATTCTCATTCATGGTTTAGACATTTAGGTTAACCACTTGGTCATTAGATTTGCTCAAATTATCCAGCTCATCCTAACTCCCCTTGTACCCGTTCAGTTAAATCCAGGTCATAACCCCAAGTCACAGAAATCTTTCTGGCCTCCAGAATCACATTTCCCTTAAACTCCGCCTCCTAGTGGGTTAAGAGCACTGACCTTTACAACAATCAGAACTGGATGAGTACCTCCTATTCATAAGGCAGGCAGAGTCCAGCAAAGTGCCTGACACATAGTAAGCGGTCAACACATGTCAAGTATTATTGTATCTCTAAATCACTCTTTTTCCTCCTTGAGGCTGTAAACAACTTGAAAGCAAGAATCCTACCCTGAGCATCTTTCTGACCCTTGGTGCTTGGGGGGGGGGGGTCCGGTATCGGGGGTCGAACTCAGGACCTTGCTCACGCCAGGCTGGTGTGGCGATAAATCCCCGGCCACTGAGCCTCGGTTTTTAATGTATGAGTATAATTGTACTGTCTATCATATAGAGTTGTACCAAACAAGATAACATATCAGAAATACTTAGCACAACGCCCAGAATAAAATGTTGAATAAGCACTCAATAATAATTATCACATACTTTTGTTTCTTCCTAACGACTAAAGGCACTCTGCTTAGGTGACAGACCTGGGTTTGATTTCCAACCTCTCCTAGTTGGGTTATAGTTAACTCAGCCTGTTTCCTCTTTCCCAATAAGAGTACTGATACATGCCGGGGATTTAGCTCACTGGTTCCACCGCCTGCCTCACAAGCACAAGGTTCCGAGTTCGATCCCCGGTACCAAAAAAAAAAAGAGTAATGATATATACAATGCATATTAAGTACCTAATACAGTATCTAGTACCCAGCTAACGCTGATTGTTAGACGAGCTCCCCTTCCTATATATTCTTTTTTTCCCCCAAAGTCACTAATTCTGGGCTGGTAGATGGCCTGTATCCTGGCAAGTCAGGTAGAAACAGGCTCTCGAGATGAGAACTTCCAAAGGTGCATTTGCACCACCCGTCTGCCCACACTTGACTCTACCGAGCACCGTCCCGCAGGAGAACCAATCCTCTCCGCGGGGTCTGCTCGACTCAACTGCGGCCACGGGCCCCACCGCCCCGCCCCGTCTCTCTACTCCCTTCAAGCTCGCTCCTTCCTTCCGCTTACCTCTCTCCTCCCTCCCCACACGCAATTTTTCAACTTTCTTCAGATCCCAACCCCTCTAGCTAGTGAGTCCCCAGAGCTTTTCCCTTCTCGGTCCGGTACTTTACCTAGACCACCTCCAGAGCCTCCCAAACTCCTCCCCTCTCGCGCCTCAGGCCCTGACGTCTCCCCAAGCCCTCTCGTCCCCCAACAGTCATCCCACCTGCACTTTCTGCCTCTTCAGCGCCGCCGCGTCCAGCCACACGCCGCACGCATCCTCCTCGGGGCCTCTCCGCTTCATGGGCGCTGAGACAGAATCTCCAGTTCTCTCGCCTCAGGACGCCACAGGACGCCTCAGGGAAGCCCAATACAGCCACCTCGGTTGACTTTTGGATCGCGCGCCAACGCAGGAGGCGGAGCCACGCCGGGGCGTCGGACGCATGCCCGCCTTTACCAAGGCCCCGCCCAATGCCTTAATGGCTACCGCTTCGGGTCTACGCGTGCTGGCGGCTCGCGTCCTTTCCGATCCTCTTACTCTAGAAGCGTGTTCCGGAAACGCTGTTGTGGGAATGAATGGGTTCTCGAGGTCGTGCCAGGAATGCGCATTTCTTTTTTTTTCTGTACTGCACTATTTTACTGTAAATATAAAACCCCCGGGTTTAAGGTGTTCAACGGCCGAATCCTCCCTCACGCAGAGGAAGCGGCGGACCGAGGTTCAGTTCCCCGACTCAACGCACTCGGGTTTGTGAACTACTTTCGTAATTAAAACAACAATAATCTAAGACTACGAAACCATATGGAAGACGATTTTGAAAACATGAAGTGAAAACTTGGAGTCAAGAACCAGATTTTCGAGGCGTGGATGTAGCTCGGTGGCGCCGTGCCTGCCTGGCAAGCGCAAAGTCCTGAGTTCAATTCATGGTACCAGAATGAGATTTTCGCCAGATATGGTGGCGCACACCTATCATCCCAGCTAGTTGGGAGGCTGAGGCATGAGAGTCCTTGAACCCAGGAGTTCCCACCAGCGTGGGCAACAGAGAGACCGTGGCTTAAACAAAACTAGTTTTCAGTCCTGGTTTCAGTGCTTACTGTGTGACCTTGAATTTAACCGTTAAGTGAGGTAACATTTATGAAAGTACTTTGTAATTTCTGGAAGCCCCTTGGAAACGTAAAATGCCAGGCTTCCATGCTTGACCACCATCTCCAGATGTGTGTGTGTGTGTGTTATTGTCTTACTGGGGGTTGGACCCATGGCCTTGCGCTTGCTAGGCAAACACTCTACCCCTGAGCTAGATCCCCAGCTCGTGTTTGATATATTGTATGTTTTAATATACATAAAAATATTTATTAAGAATATTTATTAATATATTACATATTTTCTATATAGAAGGTCCCTCAATATTTTAACAGTGCAATGATATTTCTTATTCATTTGGGGTTTTTTTCCTTATATTGAAATTTTCCTTCATTGTATATAGCTTGTGTACTATGGAAAAAGGAATATTATAAAAATTAAAATATAGGGCTGGGGATTTAGCTCAGAGGTGGCACCACCTGCATCACAAGTGGAAGGTCCTGAGTTCGATCCCTGGTACCAAAAAAAAAAAAAAATTAAAATACAAAGTTAAAGGCCAGCCTGGACTACTTAACAAGATTCTGTATCAAAAAACTAAACAAAGGGCCGGGGATTTAGCTCAGTGGTTCTGTTGCCTGCCTTGCAAGCACAAGTCCCAAGTTTGATCCCCAGCACCAAAAAAAAAAAAAAAAGGCAATAATGTAGGTTTTTAACTTGATAATTACAATGGTTTTATCACTGTCTGCTTAGAATCCCTGGGAACTGTAAAAGGGACACTTCATAGGACTCTATACCTAAGATTCAGCTTTAATCTTGATCACTCACTTAATATATTTATTCGTTAGTGTTGCCTAATGACCATGAAGTCCTTTAATTCTTGTATAAAACTTTAATCCTCTTTTATATATTTTAGGGTGGTGTCATTTCTTTTTCCTTCCTTTTTCTCTCTTTTCGGTGATACTGTGGATGTTTTAATGAGCAGTCATAAGAAATGCTGGCAAGACTGTGGGGAAATAGGAACACTTCTGCACTGTTGGTGAGACTGTAAACTAGTACAACTACTAAGTAAATCTGTACGGAAATTCCTCAAAAAACCCAAAAATTAAAATTCTATTTTATCCAGCTGTTATCAGGTATTATAGTAGTCAGGCAACCCTTTCCAGGCTCTTACTGTCTTGTTCAAAGGATTGGATGGAGCAATCAATGAAAGTGAAAGTTTAAAGTTTATTCAAGGGCGATGCCTATAATCCCAGAACTCAGGAGGCTGAGGCAAGAGGATCTCATTGAGATAGAGGCCATCCTTGGCTACATAGTGAGTTCAAGGCCAGCCTGAAGTACATAGTGAGATCCTGTTTTTAAAAACCAAAAATAAATAGATAAAACAAATAGTAAAAAATAAAGTTTATTCAAGCCAACAGAAATAGTAAAGAAGAAGAAAAAGAAGCACAAAAGAACTGCTCAAGAAGAAAAACCATTCTGCAGTGAGTGTGAGCCAGTTAAAGTAGGAAAAATACTCCCTGCAGAATGAGGGCAGGCTGGTGAAAAGGCTTACAGCAGCTCAAGCTTAGTGGCTACCATCTTTTATACCCCCCTTCTGACAGCAGATCTAAGCCATCTCATTGAAAACCTGCTTGATCTTGTACCAGAAGATTGGTATCAGGTGCAGGGCTCAGCTTGCTCTTGGGACAATCCTGTACCAGAAGAATTGAAGTCAGCATTCCCTGGTTAGTATTGGGTCCAGGTGCAGGGCTCGAGAGCTGCTGCTCTGTGCCGGACTCTCTGTGGTTAAAAAGTCTCTGAAATTGACAGGTCCACCCAATTAACAGCTATTTTTCCATGCTTTAATCCACTTCACAACTTTCCCCCCTCTAGGTATCTTCCAGGAAGAGTTAAAGACATCAAATTACAGCAATACATGCACACCCATGTCTATATTAGTTCAAATTGTAATAGCTAAATCTTGGAAGTGGCCTATATGTCCATCAACAGATGAATGGATAAAGAAAGTATGGCATTTATATACAATAGAGTACTAATCTGCCATAAAGAAGGATAAACCAGTCATTTATAGGAAAATAGATACACCTTGAGACTATAATGTTAAGTAAATAAATCAGAGCTTAAATATCACAAGCTTAAACACCACATGGTTTCTCTTTTATGAGAAATCCAAGGCATAAATAAGTAAAGAGAAGAATAAAAGGTAGATAATAGGAAATAGGGAAATAGATCTTTTGCAAAAAGGAAGGGGACCAGAAATGGAGGGAGGCAATGAAAGGGAAGGGAAAGGGGATTTTAAAAAGAATCTAAATTTAAGGCCAGCCTGAGCTATATAGTGAGTCCCTTATAAAAGACACATAAATAAGTAAAAAATAAAGTTTACTCAAGGCAAAAGAAAAAGTAAAGAAGAAAATTTATCTGTGTACCAACTCCCCACAGGGTTGTAATTTATGTATTGCAAACATGTACCACTTAAAGAAAACAACTTTCCACTGTGTAGTTACATAGATAAGAGGAATAGAATGATTCACTAGTAAAATTGGTTTAGTATTACTAATTTTAAAATGCTTTTGTATAGTAATTTCTCATACCTCTGCTGTATGAATTTCTATTCTCTAAGTACTCTGCCTGATACCCAAACCAACATTTCAGGGAACTTTTTTTTTTTTAACTTTTTAAAAAAATTGTTCTATTAGTACATTTTAGGTATACAATACATTTACATTTATCATTGGGTACTTGTACCTGTACATGATGTATCTCAGTTCTTATTCTTTTCCCCATTGCCTGTGCACCCTTCACCCCCTCCACCCTTCCCTATTTACATAGATTTCCTTTCCATTTTTTTCTTTTCTCATAATTTTTCCTTTCCCTTCTTTCCTTTCCCCTTCCCCTCCCACCACCCCTAC